ACTGTTATCTTTTTTTCCCATTCTCTAAGTCCATATGCTCTTTGTTGAGATCACTTACTGTCTGTGCGTCTTATAATTGCACTTTTTAAAGGACTTTTTGTAATGCATTCTCTCTTAAACAGTCAGCTTTCTTGTCTCATTGCTGTACAACATGACATTTCTCCTTCAGGATTTTGTTTATGCCGTAGAGATTTCTAGGAACAAAGAATCAGTGAGGCTAGCGATCAGGTGGGTTCTGTGGAAAGTTTGAAATCTCTGCTCAGTTCTTGGTCTGACACTGATGTCTCATGACGATAAATCACATTCTCTCTGTGCTTTTCTTTATCTGTAAAATAGGACTCATGATAGAATTTCTTATGTGGTCTAAACTGATAAAAGTAAATTAAATGTAGCTACATTTGTACCTTTCTTTTGTCATCAGGTTTCTGAATACATGGTTGCTGTCGCATAGTGGTGGTCTTAGGTACTCAGTTTTAGGTGGAACACGTGAAAATTCTTTAATCCTCTTCAACAATTCAAGAAACACAGCTTAAAGATTTGCTTTTCAGTATTTTTATCAGGAGTTAGTGGAACTAAAATGGGAATAAGGCAATTCATATATTCAGTTCAAAAAAGAAAAATTGTATGTCCGTAGAAACCCTGGAGTTTCAGTAAAGGACTCCTAAGTAAAGTGCCTAAAACACTTTGTGGTGGTCTTTTTTTTTCTGAGACATGTATTTGATAGAATGTAATTCAAAACTTCAGTCATCCAGTATTTCTGGATTACTTTTGTCCAATCAGATGATAAGTCAGAAAGTTGTATGGGTTTTTTGTTGTTGTTGTTCTGGTTTGTTTCCAGTATTGTATTTTTGTACGTAAAACTAAAATGCTGCTGGTCAGAAAGATAAAATGTTTCTTTAATCAAAATCCCCACTGAAAAATAATTTTACAGTGTGAGAACTTTTCTTGTTACTTAATTTGAATCATTTAATGTATTAGAATATAAAATATCTTTTGAAGTTTTATATGAAGACTTAAAATTGTCTATTTCTGATCCTCCGAGTTCCCTTGAATACCTATTTTTTATTCTCACCCTAAGTTTAATCAGAAGCATGTTTTGTCAAATGAATGCCAGAGATGAACGTTTAATTCTTGCATTGCACATGATCCATTTTATCCACCTTTGTGGATCCACCCAAATCCATTTGGATCTTACTTACGGTTGTGATGTGGGGAGAGAAAGGGTATTCAGAACTCAGGAGTTCTGTTGGTTTGTTACTTTTGCAATAATGTGTAACTGTTCTTTTTCCATGAGATTTAGTAATCTACACTACATTTTCTGCTAGGGTGCAACTTTTATTTTTAATTACACTAGGTGAGAAGGCCTATCTCTCACTGTTAAGAAAACAAATCTGTTGGTGTTACCTTATGATGAAGTATACCATTTTTTCTGAGTGTTAGGAGGAAAATGAGTTAAAGACTGGGAGGGCAAAGTTGGGAATCAAGGATAAGAGAATCTCGGAACATTTCTTGAGGAGGAGGGTTGGCTGCTAGATATGCCTGAGGAGTGGGTGTGCAGACTTGTGTAACTGGTACAGTGAGATGCTGCCTTTATAGTTTCAAGGCTTCTGTAAGCATAACTACTGTTTGTTTGCAGATTAGATGCTTTCGCCTT